CTTGTTTTCTGGGAAACACAGTATATCACATTTTGCAGAAACATTACTCAGCATAATTGCACATCCCACTCATAGTTTTTGAATTATTTTGATGCAATTTTGACCTGAAGCTGTATCTTGGAAACTGGAGCCAATTAATACTCAGGACTTAATTTTCCTTTATTAGTGACCCAATTTTGGTAAAATTAAGTTACGTTCATTTACGAGGCTTTCTCCTTGTAAACCAGTTTTACATGTTATGAAATTATGCAGTTTGGCAAAATTGCTCTCAGCTACTTTTTGGAATATCACCAATTCCCACCTGCCTTGTAAAACAGCAGTACACCGTGTAACTATAACTACATGGTAGTGGCAGAAATGCTTTTCAGACATACGGGAATCCCCAAGGCAAAAGAGCTGTGTGGAAGCCTTACTGATTTGCAACTAAAATTCTTTCCAACCACACAGATCGTTCAGAGGGTTAAATGGATGTTCAGAGGAGGATTGCAAAGTTGTCATTTCAGGCTGCTGTGCTTCTGTATACAAATAACTGATGCTCTGAAATAGCTTATGTCCTAATTGTCAAGAGAGATGTGAATTTTTAGCAGAAAAATGCTTATATTCTTACATAATGACTTTCTCCACTAAAATGGAAGCAAACTCTCAATAGACAAAAACATTCTATTCAGTGTATTCAAATAATAGTGAAGAGGCCATTGTAAAATATGATATTTTTTTTTCTCCAGCAGATATAAGTACTGGAATTTTCCTCATATTTTACATCTTACCTTTGTTTCTAAATAATATAACTTCCTGATGGATCTGGGGATTTCCTTTCAATATAGCTGGTAATCCTATTGTCCCTTCCTTCCTTCCTTCCTTCCTTCCTTCCTTCCTTCCTTCCTTCCTTCCTTCCTTCCTTCCTTCCTTCCATCATTAACATATAACAAGTTAATTTTCTAATTCACTCTCTTCTTTCATATGACTACATCTCTCTTAGTAGTGGGATGCAAATTCTGGCGCTACCATTTTGCTATCAGTAGCACACGGCGCTTCTGCAAATGCACAGAAGCTTCTGCACATGCATAGAGTGTTTTTGATGATGTCTGGGTGGGTGGGCACCTGAACCGGGGCAAACCGGAAGCAACCCACCACTGATCTCTCTGTCTTTATAATGTTTCCAACTAATGAAAAATTTCAAAAGTTGCAGTGCTTTCTTAGACAACCTGATGATATACAGTTCTCCTATAACACATGTTCTGCCCCAGCTCCGCATTCCCAAGGATTGTGATACACACCAATGGTCCTTATCAAAGTTATAATGTACCAAGAATAAACAAAGTCCAGCAAAGGTTGGCAACCAGCCCAGAAAACAAAATACAATAAGACACTCATTCTCCAAAATGCTCTGTAATAATTACATGTTGTTTTCAGCAAGAAATTACTAACTGTGTGTGACTTAAATAGGCTAAGGGAGTGGCCAATTATCCTCAAACCTTACTCTCAAGGAGACCTCCTCCTCCTGAGTAGCCACTCCTGCCTTTTGGTAGCCCTACGTGCTCGAGCATTGAGGAGAGGCTCCTCCACTTCGCTCTCTCCACTTGAAGGAGCCTCTGGAGGTTCTGAAGGCCCTGGCTGAGTCTATGCCTCTGGCACCACATCCTCTTCAGCCTCCTCGCTGTCTGACGCAAGCGCTGGCTGCGCAGGCTGCAGGCGTGACACCACATCAACTCCTCATCGTCGGGATCAGCCACGATCCGCGCAGGCTGCTGGCAGGCCACAACAACACAAGACATACAGATACAAACACAGAGTGAGAGAGAGAGGGAGGGAGGGGGAGGGAGAGGGGAACATAAGATGATGATTGACAGCAAAACTATCCAACAGTCTTCTGTTTTCATTTTGATCTTCTAAGTTAGTGGTCTCCAACCTTTCTGGCTTTGTGGACTGGAATGGGGGAGAGGGGATAGTTCCTTGTGGGTGGCAAACACAAATGGATTGGCTTGTGCATGCTTGCCCACCTGCCCGCTGCATAAGTGGAGCTGTGCGTGCAAACGTGTTCACCCGCCACTTCCACAGCCCAGTTCCAAATGCAGCCCTGTAATGGGCCATGGCCCAGGGGTTAGGGACCCCTGTTCTAAGTGAACACAGAACTACAGAACCTTCCACAGAAAACAAATCTAGCTCTCAACATCTTTTCCGATTCCAGAATTCACTTACTGTATTATCTGTGATAGACACAACATACTTGACTCCCTGACCTGAGTAGTGTTGAGAGAAGGACATCCTAATTTCCCATGAAATACTGTTAGAAACTTTCAGAAGATCCCAAATTCAAGCTCTTTCATTTTTGTTCAATTGGTTGGGAAATAATTAACTGAAGCTAATTTGGAAAGACAATGAGTTCATCTCCATATCCTAGTTGCTATAATGCAAATATGTGACTCTTAACTATTTTTTCCCAAGACATGTCCTCACCATGAAGCCTCCATTCCAGGGGTGAAATCCAGCAGGTTCTGGAGAACCGGTAGCGGAAATTTTGAATAGTTCAGAGAACCGGCAAATGCCACCTCTGGCTGGCCCCAGAGTGGGGTGGGAATGGAGATTTTGCAATATCCTTCCCCTGCCACACCCAACAAACCACGCCCACCAAGCCACACCATGCCCACCAAGCCATGCCCACAGAACCAGTAGTAAAAAAAATTGAATTTCACCACTGCTCCATTCCATTGCCAGCCTGCTACTGTGGCCACTATGTTACTCTAGTTTTAAACTAGTGTTTGTCCTTCTACTGTTGGCACAAAGTCTCCCATTCTAGGTCAATGCAGGAGGAGCCTTCATTGGTTGGCAATCTGCTGGGATTCCAACTAGCCTGCTGCAGCTCTGCCCATTTGGCTGATGTACTTTGCAGCTCCATCATTACTATGGTTTCCAAAGGAACCAGACATCTCACTTGCCCAGCTTGTTTCTTCTCTTGTTTTGTTGCTCAACTTCTACGATAACAATTTCTTGGAATGAGAAAAAGTTTTGCATCACTGACAGATGGAAAAAGCCTATAGAGAAAGACTCTGGTGGGACACCTCTTCCTCATCATGCACAAGCATTTACTTTCATCCCAACAATTCTCTTCTTTTGGAAACCAAAATCATTTTATTAAAGGGCTTTTATTTTAGACCTCTCAAGGAAATGGAATTATTCCAGTAACAGAACTTCCCAGTTTGGATTTGGGGTTTGGAAATGGTCAGCAGAACTCTGAATAATGGGGCTGTCAGAACTCTGAATAATGGAGCTGTCATTAAATCCAACTCAGATTTAAAAGGAAGAACTTGCTAGTCTGAAAGAAATCCATGGTGCTTTCTGAAAGGGTAGTATCACTACCTACCTTGTTCAGTGATGGGTTGCCCCCGGTTCGGACCAGTTCGCAAGAACCAGTGGTAAAACCGGTAGGAGGCTCTGCCCATCTACCTTGATGTCATCATCAGCAATATGCGCATGCACAGAAGCAAGGCGAGCGAGTGAAGCAAGTGCGCACACACATCCCGTTGCAAACCGGTAGTAAAGGTAAGTAGAACCCAGTCCTGACCTTGTTGCTATGCTAGGGTGATGATACAGTGTTTCTTCTACCAGCCTGCTTTTCCCCATCCCAAGCACAGAATGAATAGAAATGTTCTCTCTCTCTCTCTTTCTCCCTCTCTCTCTCTCTCTCTCTCTCTCCCTCCCTCCCTCCCTCCCTCCCTCCTTCTCTCTCTCTCTCTCTCTCCTTTTAGATGCTTAAGTGGGTGTAGAAACATTTTTTTTTTTGCATTAGGAAGAAAAGCTTTGAATAAATCTTGACTTGATTAGGTTTGCATCCAAAGATAATTTTGGATATCTTACTGTTATTGTGGCATAGCTATAAGATAAACGAATGGCCCAATAATTATCCTATTTAATCTGAATAAATTGTATTTTTCTGTCCGAAGGGTTACAAGTCATTATATCATGGAGCATATAGTTACACTCAAAAGTTGAATGCATTTATAAAAATGTGCACAATTTATTCCACTATATGCTGTCTGTTTCTATACTCATTGTAATTGCTTGCATGTTTCAGGCAAGAGGTATTGATGGAACATGGGCGGAAATCTGAAATATAAATAAATGTGTATATCGCATACTGCAAATTATTTAAAAAAGTTATACAGATAACTTCATAGTTTGGAGATAGGGAATAGAAATCTAATCTTTAGTACTACTATAACATTCCCAAACCAAGCGGAATGGAGGAGCTGCTTGTTAAATAACTAGGTTACAAAATAAGTAGCTGCTTGTTAAAATAACTAAGTTACAAAATAAGTAGCTACTTGTTAAAATAACTAGGTTACAAATAAAAGTAGCCATAGATAACATTCATAATATCACCTCCAACATTAGTTTTGTTGGTCATCTATAGTTTATTTTTTTTAGCATGAACATCTGCCCAAACATGTACAGGATCACTTTAAAGAGATAGAAATGTAACACACAGCTATGAAACAACCAAAAATAATCAATGTCACAGGATTTTATTTGATCCACAGTTAGAGCTTCCCAGGGTATTTTCATGCAGCCTCAGAGCATTAATAAACAGTGGCACTATTCCTCATCCGTTGATAGCCACCATATTGCTTTCAGCAGCAAGCAAAATTAAACTTTAAGCATTACTCTCATGTGGATGGACTATAAAGTGAATTTAAATTAAAGTACTACATTACCTAGAAAGTAATGTAGTACTGGATGAGACTTTGCTACCTATTAAAGTGTGTTCTACATTTACAACACTTTCTGACACACAGTCTGTTATTTGGTGTGGGTGGGTGGGTGGAGGAGAGAAGATTTTCGAAACCTTATATACAAGTTTGGATTATAGGAGAATGGACTTGTAGTTGCTCTTTAATATTGGTCCAAAAATTTGGAATGTTGGGTAGAGGGAAGTCTCAGCTACTGGTGCTAGGAGACAGTTGCTAGGGAAACCGTGCAGTTAGAGAAGGCAAATTGGGGAAGGAAAAGGAGGGGAGGGAAGAGGAGGAAGAGAAAACAGTTTGGAAAGGATAGCAGGTGGCCTTTCTAGAATAGGAGGTGAGAATTCATTTGAACTAAAAAGACTCAGCCATTTGTAGGACTGAACAGACATGGGAAGTAGGAAGGATTGGAAGACGAGCTATATTAAGAACTGCAAACACCAGGCATTGGCTGGTGTTGGCAAGCTACTACTATTCCTTTAATATTTACTCCTGTCAAGATCTGTTGGTCCTTGGTCTATTGAGAGCTAGTGCCTTAATATGACAATAGAAGTTCAATATAGTTTCTCATGACGATCAAGGTAACTTACAAAAGTAGGGTCTAAACAGGAAATCCTTCACGTTTCAGCAAGTTATGTATAAATTGTCTGTCCAGCTCCATAAAGTTTTCTCTTTGGCCTGCTTTGGTACTTTGTCTTCCATAATATTGGAAGAAATATAGCCTGTTTGCTATTGTTATATCTTTACCCTTATGACTTATCCTTACCCTTATAATTTAGAGCAGGGGTGGATTCTACTTAACCTTTACTATCAGTTTGCAATGGGGCCGCACGTGCATGTGCAGAAGCATTTTGATGACGTCAGGGTCGGTGGGCAGAGCCTCCCGCTGGTTTTACTATCGGTTCTATAGAACCAGTGCAAACCGGGGGCAACCCACCACTGACTTAGAGGAATCTGACTCTAACTCACGTGCTCCTTTAATATTTTTTCTATAGCAATGCATTTCCTACCTTCATAGCTCCACTTATCATCAGAGGTTCTACCTATTTGGAGGATAATTTTATTTGTTTTAGACTACAAGACTGGAACCTGAATATAATCAGAAGTCTTCCAAAATATTTTACAGTTGCCATAGCTATATATAGGGAAATAGCATCTTCATTCTAGAATTTATAACTGTGTCTAAAAAGTTATAATTTGATGTTGTTAATGTCATTTTGTCCCATGCGAATGGTTACTTACTCCCAAAAGGATGTATATCTTGCTTAGAAGTGTGTGTGTGTGTGTGTTTATTTGTGTGTATGAGTTTATGAGAAGTGTATGAGAAGTCAGCTGGTGCCTTTGGACCAATCATTCTCTCTCAGTCCTAAACCAGTGGTGGGTTTCAAAATTTTTTACTACCGGTTCTGTGGGTGTGGCTTGGTGGGCGTGGCATGGCTTGGTGGGAATGGCTTGGTGGGCATGGCAGGGGAAGGATACTGTAAAATCTCCATTCCCTTCCCACTCCAGGGGAAGGATACTGTAAAATCTCCATTCTTTCCCCACTCCTGAGGGAAGGATATTGCAAAATCTCCATTCCTACCCACTCTGGGGCCAACCAGAACCAGTTCTCCAAACTATTCAAAATTTCCACTACCGGTTCTCCAGAACTGGTCAGAACCTGCTGAAACCCACCTCTGTCCTAAACCCAGCAACCTATATAGGACAAGCTTGGTAGATTATGGTTCATAACTTTAATGAAGAAGTCTCCATCCTGTATATACTGTATATACTGTATATACAATACATACATACTGTGGAGGTTTAATTACACATATGATGTTGGATGTGACTTAAGCATGATTAAAATTGTAACAGTACACACAAACACAGATATATACACATCACTGCAAGTTAAGAAGAGCCTGTAGTACAGTGGACTAAAACACTGTTATTAACATCTGCTGCTTGCAATTACTGCAAGTTCAAATCTCACCAGGCTCAAGGTTGACTCAGCCTTCCATCCTTTCAAAGGTAAGTGAAATGAGGACCCAGATTGTGGGGGCAATAAACTGACTTTGTATAAATATACAAAAGTATGAAGGCTATTGCTTAACGCATTGTAAGCCCCTCTGAGTCTCCGGAGAAGGGCGGCATATAAATTAAAGCCAAAAAAAAAAAAAAAAAAGTACTCCTGCAAACAAAGAGGGAAATATTCTTGATGAAAAATGGCAGAAAACATGTGCTTATCTTGGAATTTCAGTGAATAGAAACCTAATTGGTTGCTTTCCATTTTTATATCAGGAGTAGGCAGCTTCACAATACAGATGCCTTAAATCTATAAAGATCTTAAAACATGATATTTGCAACCCTTTCACATACCAACAAAATCTCTTCTTCTAGTTATAACATCCTTAGCCAGGCACTTGACACAGTCAAAGGATCAATAGCCTCTGGGCTGAAAAGGTTTTCCCCCTCCTCCTGTTTCAGTTATCTGACAGCTTCAGATAAATCAATATCTTTTTCAAATCTTTATTTAAACTTATGCCTGACATGTACTATGTATTTACGGTACTTTACTACAATAAATTATATATTGTATTGTATAATGTAATATCCCACTAGAAAGCATCTGGAGATTTTTTTTAACAGGAATGGTTATCTAAATGCTTTAAATAAATAAAGCATGACAATGAGACAAAAGGCTGGTATTCTGAAGCCAAACCCTCCCAAGTTTTTTTCCTCCTTCTTTAGAAAATCTGATACAAATAAGAAAGGGCAAAACATCAGGACATTCTTGAACCTTTCAGGATGAAATGTCCCCAAACAGTAGCCTTTGTTATAGAAGGGGTGGGGGGGGTCTCAGATGTAATTCCCCCACTCTCCGGCCATTTTGTATTAAGGTGTCATATCCACAAGTTTTGCTCTGCTTGTGAGGTTGTTGTATCAGATGCCATCTGTTGCAATAAATGGCAAATGAAATAAGCCATGATTATCCAAAGGATCTTGCAGCTGGTTGTTCTAATTTGAGGGCAGAAAGTCAAGATAGGAGAGTTATGATTCCTAACAGATTTCTGGCTACAAAATCATGTCCATATAGTTAATTGTTGTTGTTCGACTTAATATGATGCCGTGGACATTTATGTTTATAGTAATTTCACTGAAGGGCCTGGAAATGCTGCTTTTTTTTTCATATGGTAATTTCTACAGCACAAAAAAAAGGACTGATGGGATTTACAACTCTCCTCGCTTGGAAAAAATACAAGGCTGAATGTTCATTCAATCAAGAACAATCTTTGGCAACATGATATTCATTGGTACCTCTTAGCAGGTCTTTTGGTGAGCAGTGCGCCCCCCCCATTTCAATTTAAGGATAAAATTTTAATGGACGGGATTAAGTTTTAAAAAATGAGAAGCCACGTATTTCGTTCTCTTTATTGATAAGAATGTTTTTAGGCTCCACATAGGGCTCAGAAAATGAAATGGTGGTTGTTTGAAGGTAATGGTTGTCCAGTTAAGCTGGCATTTGGGAAAGTTAGAATAATTTCATCCATTTTTCTTCTAATAAAGGGGTGTTTCATGACTAATCTTTCTCAGCAGGACAGTTACTTTCTAAATAAGCAACACTATGGCATCTATTAAGTTTCCCTCAATATGAGTTTAAAAGACCAGGTGCACCTACTGGACTAAAAGGGTGCTTTTACCTGAGCTACATTCTATCTAGAATCTAGGGCAAAACTTAATATTTCCTTTTTCAGTGGATATAGAGTGAACCAGATCAAATTCTAGCAAAGACTAATTTCTGGCTCATTCCTATCCTTCCCCATAAATAATCTGCAGTGGGATTTCGTGGGGTCCTTACTTAATATTTAAATAATGAGATTCAATCTGTCTCTTAAACATATTGTGATTATAAAACAGGGTGAATTTAGAGTGTTTCAGTAACCCCTCCTTGGATTAAGAATATGTGACTTTTGAAGGGCACTCTCCTGAATGTACTTTCAGATTGAAAAACAAATACCGTGTTATCTTATTCTTCCTCTTATCTCTCTGATGTTATCTTTTAGGCCTGATTTAACAGACAGTTGAAAAGTGCCAGCTGTATCACTGAGCTTTGGTTATGTGCATTATTAGTAATTCCTATTTTGGTAACCTTGTTTATGTTATATATTCTGAACATGCTGGGCTTCTTTAAATATTTGAATTATCAAATGCCAGAGAACAGACAGTCCAAGAGAAGGCTCAGTAAGGTTTTGTTGGGATGTTTACCTAATTGTTCTAAGTAGCTTGACAGAATTGAAATAAGTATTTAAATATCACTGCTTCCCCAGACCTTCTGCATTAAGCATAGTATAGTATGTCCTCCATATTGTCTCTGAAGTAAGAGAAAAGAACAAGCATTGCTGTCTGCTGAATATTAGTCTGTTTTATGATTCCTGGTGACTACATGGACTAGTCACTGCAGTTTTCTTGGCAAAATTTTGGAACTGCTTTGCCATTGCCTGCTTCCTAGAGCTGAGAGAGAACAACCGGTCCAAGGTCACCCATCTAGCTTTCTGCCTAAAGTGGGACTTGAACTTACAGCCTCCCAGTTTCTAGGCTAGTGCCTTAGCCAGCACACTGAAGTGGCTCTGTGATTATATATTAAAGGTAATACAGGTAATCCTCAACTTACAACAGTTCATTTAGTGACTGTTCAAAGTTACAATGGCATTGAAAAAGGAACTTATGGCCATTTTTCACAGTTACAACTTTTGTAGCATCCCCATCAGAGGTGGGTTTCAGCAGGTTCTGACCAGTACTGGAGAATCGGTAGTGGAAATTTTGAATAGTTCGGAGAACCGATAGTAAAAATGCCTCACCCCCATCTATTCTCTGCCTCCCAAGTCCCAGCTGATCGGGAGGAAATGGAAATTTTGCAGTAACCTTCCCCTGCCACTCCCACAAAGCCACGCCCACCAAGCCACACCACACCCACCAAGCCACACCCACAGAACCAGTAGTAAAATATTTTGAAACCCACCACTGATCCCCATGATCATGTGATGAACATTCAGATGCTTGGCAACTGGTTCATATTTCTCACCACTGCTGTGTCCCAAGATCACATGATCACCTTTTGCAACCTTCTGACAAGTAAAGTCAATGGGGAAGCCAGATTCACTTAACAACTGTCTTATCAGCTGCAGTGATTCACTTAACAACTGAGGCAAGGAAAGTAGTAAAATGGGGCAAAAGTCACTTAACAAATGGTTCACTTAGCAAAGAGAAATGCTGGGCTCAGTTGTGGTCGTATGTTGTATTTAATTTGGGTTCAGACAAGAGTCAGTTTGTGGCTTTCATTGTCGGGGGGGGCGTGATTTAAACCTGGATCTCCTCTGCTCGAACTCTGCATTGCCTCTTACATAAGCAAAGGCAATCCTGGTGCTCTTACAAGCTTTCCATATTAATGTGGTGAACTATTCATGTTTTAAACCAAAATGTCAATTTGGATTGCCTCCCAACATTAGACCGCCTGAAACTGGGGCTATTGAAAAGAATTCAGTACTTCATTATTGCTCTATGCTGAGTACACTTGGCAATAAACACACTTCCTCCGAAGCATCTGCTTCTAGCTACTATTGGGGACAGGATAATAATAAGCCTAGCAGAGAAAGCAATTTTCGATGGACTAGAGCACTGCGTAGAATGAGTTAGCACTGATAAGAGCACTCTGTTCCACTGAAAGGAGGTACTGAAACCAGCCCTTTAAAGATATCGCAAGACTCTCTTAAGGGTGATATTTAATACTGCAATCCTATATATACCTAGTAGGATGTAAATCCCAGAATTTAATGGGAAGCCTGTTCAGGATAGGTTACCCTGAAGAACTGCTACTGTTATTTTTAATCTCTACTAGGAAATGGACTGCGGCATTCTAGCTTCTGCTACTTACACTCTAGTGGTTAGATCAAGAGCAAGCTGATTTAATACACTTGGGAACAATCCAGTGTCAGGTCAATAGCTATGCGCTGTCAGACAAAGATGCTAAAAGTGCTGAAGCAATTGCTCAGCAGTCATCCAACAATCCACTTCTGCGAGGAGAAAAAAAATATTCAGAGATGTAAATTGATATGAAAGTTGGGTCAAGTTGTAGGCAGGATGGAACTGGGAAGAAATGCAACGTTCTAAATAAGAAAAGGCAGAATGACTACAAAGCCAGTTCCTAGTAGGAGAGAGATGGTTTTCCACCTCCTGGCAGAAGATACAGGCTCCCTGACAGGTAACACTGTCCAATAGGAAGTCAAGACTGAGAGAAGTAGCAAAGAAACTGAGAGCCATATAACTGTGTTACTGGAGCAGGCATGTAAGTCAGTAGATTCTGGAAGATATAGATATGCAAACAAGGTAGGAACAGAGGAATAATGATAGCAGTGAACCATAAGAGGACAGGTCTGTTGCAGTGACATAGGATGCACCAATGGTGGGTTGTCTATTGTTCTATAGAACTGGTAGTAAAACCGGCGGGAGGCTCCACCCACTGACCCTGACATTATTAGAAGCGATCTGTGCATGCGATCCCATTGCGAACCGGTAGTAAAGGTAAGTAGAACCTACCCCTGGGAGGCACCTATGGGATTTCTGTAAAAAGTCCCAGTTCCTTCCAAGTATCTTAAATGCCACACTGGCCTCAAAAACCCTGAGGAATGTGGTTCTGCAGAATCTCCAGTTTCTTGGTTGAGACATAAAAACATCATGGAAAACACATTATGGAAATCAGATATTCAGGCTTTGTCATTCTTTTAGTGATTGAGACTGAAATCTGTAGGAAGAGTTCAGAGGTTTTGTTTGTGTCGTTTTGTTTTTACTCTTTGGGGGAAATGAATATACTTTTCTGAGTCTGTTCTGAATTGAGCCAAGAAATCTTTTGACACAAGGGAGGCAGGTATTTCTGAATGAAGAGAAGCCATTTTGTATCCTTATGTAGGAAATATAAGCCTACTATATCCAAGAGACTTTTTATGTAGCTCAGTCAGAGATGGGTTTCAGCAGGTTCTGACCAGTTCTGGAGAACTGGTAGTGGAAATTTTGAGTAGTTCGGAGAACTGGTAATAAAAATTCTGACTGGCCCCGCCCCCATCTATTCTCTGGCTCCCAAGTCCAGCTGATTGGGAGGAAATGACGATTTTGCAGTAACCTTCCCCTGGAGTGGGGTGGGAATGGAGATTTTATAGTATCCTTCTCCTGCCACGCCCACCAAGCCATTCCACATCCAAGCCACACCCACAGAACCGGTAGTAAAAAAATTTGAAACCCACCACTGAGCTCAGTATTTTCAACTCTGATTCTAGGATCTCAGGACCAGGCTGAGCCTTTCACTTGGAGATGCTGTTGACTGAACCTGACACCTCTGAATACACAACAGAAACTGTCCCATTAAATTGTGGCCTCGCAAGCCCTGCTCATAGTCGGGACAAGCAAAAAATCACTTATGATCTAAAGGAGAATCAAGTATCGGTTGCTATCCTACTAAAATAATGCACCTAAGAGGAATCTAGCCAAGGTTATATACAAAACTGATCAAGTTATATATAAAGGTAAGAGTTATTCTCTATGGGAATAGAGAACCAGAATTGCTGGCAGAGCTGAAAATAAGATGCAGGTTTAAATACTGCTGTGCATGTGTGGGTGGGTATAGGTGTCCCTAGAAGCCCAGGTGCTACTAATTGCCTGAATTAATTAGTACTAATTGCCTGATAGTGTGAGGAATCTCTTCATCCTGCAACACAACTGTCTTGGATGCTCACATCACCTTGCTTTCTGTACTATCATTCTTCTGTGTTTGCTAAGACCTAGAAAAGAAAGATGGGAAGAGCCCCCCCCCCAATTCTTTTTCATCTGTTTTCATTCTGGGGTTTGTTTGTGGGTTTTTTTTGTTTTGTTTTGTTTTGTTTTTTGACAAAATTGCTTGGTCCAGCCTCATTTCTGTTTACAAGTTGCATAGTGAAGCTCTATAGTAAATCATGGCTAGAAGCTTAACCCTAAAGTCATCTTTCAAAGGTTTCCAGAAAAAGAATCTTTATTGCAGATGAGAATGAAGCTTTAAACACAACAATTGATTGCTTACTGCAATGCCAAGAGATCAGAGACATTATATTGTATGTGCTTCACTAGTAGTCCTACATTTATAGCCTTGCTCGGAAACTACAGGTCATTATCCTTTAACTGGGCTAAGTGCCAAAACGGAGATGTCCATCTGAATGTCAAGGAGATTTAGTAACCATGGAATTTTCCAAGACTAGAATTAAGTTTAATAACAAAGAAAGAGGTGCTGAGCCTGTAAGACACAGGCCTTGTTTCAAAAGTGATAGAAGATCTGGGACCTTGTCATAAATGCAGTTTTGTGGCAAAAGGTTTCAATAATAATATTAGAATGGAACAGAATAGATTTTTTTTTATTGGCCAAGTGTGATTGGACACACAAGGAATTTGTCTTGGTGCATAAGCTCTCAGTGTACATAAAAAGAAAAGATTCATTTGTCAAGAATCATAAGGTACAACATTTAATGATAGTCGTAGGGTACAAATAAGCAATCAGGAAACAATGTCAATATAAATCATAAGGATACAAGCAACAAAATTACAGCCATACAGTCATAAGTGGAAGGAGATGGGTGGTGGGAATGATGAGAAGATTAATAGGAGTGCAGACAGTAAATAGTTTGACAGTGTTGTGGGAATTATTTGTTTAGCAGAGTGATGGCATTCGAGGAAAAAAACTCTTCTTGTGTCTAGTTGTTCTGGTGTGCAGTGCTCTATAGCGTCGTTTTGAGGGTAGGAGTGGAAACAGTTTATGTCCAGGATGCGAGGGGTCTGTAAATATTTTCACAGCCCTCTTTTAAATTAAAATGATTGAGTGATGGATTAACTGATTATGTGACTCTAAGCACCCCCATAGATTTTCCCCGTGACGATCTCTTAAAATAACAGTGACATATTACATTATACTGTTTATACAGTGCAAGATAAAATACCTTAAACATATCCTTCCATTTTAAAATAATATTAAATTGGAAGGAATGATCAAAGGCAGTCAAGGGACACAAAAATCACATTTAAAACTAACAGTAAAAAGTAATGGAAAAAAAAGGTTGTTGAGAGAAGTTTCCATTAAATCATTCATAATGCAGATCAAATTCTGAAAAAAAAAATAAAAATCCAAGAGTTTTCTAGCTTTCACTCCCTAAGTAGGTCTCCAAATTATCATTATATAATTACCATTACATAGTAAATCCCAAAAGGATAGGAGCAGCCTAGAAAAGTAAAAGGAACAGGGTTGCTGAATGAATTAGGCTGCTAATGCGCCAGGGAGCTTTCTCTGGGAAGAAAATAGGGTTCCTCTGTTACTTTCCTTCCTCGCCCTGGAGTATTTTTGCCCAAACCAATTTATCTGGAAAGTTGGGGAGGAGAAGGATGGGGATCGATACAATGAAATACTAGACACAGTAGATTCAATTTTATTTCCTCACTTTGTTGCAAAAATTAATCCACATGATTCAGTAAACCTGTTCTGACCATCAGCCATTCTACAGAATATCAATCACAATTTTTTTTCTTGATTCTTCTCTTCAGGTTCCTTTACCAGTCACTGTCAGGGACTAAAGTTGCGATTTCTATCCTTCCCAGCGTTATTCTTTTAAGAATGCATTTCATTCACTTTCGATTCAACACAAAAAAATGTCTTAGAATTGTGGTATATTTTGAGTGTTGGCACACTTTCATCCTGGTATATAATAAGCTCTCAGCTGCGAAACCACCTGTTGTTATTTATCAAATCTCTCTGCTGTCTCTCAAATGCAATTCTATAAAAAACATCACAGCATTTATCAATACTATTGCATGTTAAATATTATTGCATGCCAATTGTAGATATGGTCATAAATGATGCACTGATGGCTTCTCATATTTTTTCAAGTTATTTTCTGACCAGTATTATAGACTGAAGGATGACTGTGTTGTACTTAAGGATATCTTTATAATTCATAACCATATAAAGTGAAGTCTAACATCGCCTTGTGGGGATACTCCATAATGCAGAAGGTTCTCTGGAAGACTTACAAAAATTCTTGGCAGACATCAAGACCGACAGTGAAGATTAACATTTAAAAATTACTTTGACATTGCATGGAATACCAGGCATCAGTACATCTAGCAATGAATATCACTGGTTAGTAACTATCAAATAAAATGAAATAGAAACTTTTTAATAGCAAATATTAAACATTAAATATGGTTAGGTACCAAATTGAACCACATACGGATTTTAATATTAAAACTGTCAAGCCTGCAGATGATTCCTACAGAATCCGGAACGCCAACATCTGCAAGAGATAATTTTTAAAAAAAATTAAAAATCCACAGCTCAAACTAGGTGATTCCAGCTTCCGAATTATCTTCAAGGGACAAACAGACATTTTTAGAAGATTAATTACCAAAGCATGAAACTTTGTGAAGGTTCATCAGTTACAATCTGAAACTCAAAATGAAATATTCCCATATTTCCAAAGTGCAAGGCTTTGTTAGATGTACCGTACTTTGCTACAATGATAAAGACTGGGGAAATGTGCAGGGGAAATATGTTGTACATTATATCCAATTACTCCAACACATGTAACAAAGCACTCTGACTGCAGGATGCTGGTGAACTGAATTAGGGGATTTATCATTTCACTATTTTTTTCACGTTCAGATCATTCTTTGTTGAACCTTCTTTATTCTTCAGTGATAGGAGACTTTATTAAATTGGTCCACACACCATAATGGACTTATGCCAGGGGAGAAATCCAACAGGTTCTGACAGGTTCTGGAGAACCGGTAGCAGAAATTTTGAGTAGTTCGGAGAACCAGCAAATACCACCTCTGGCTGGCCCCAGAGCGGGGTGGGAATGGAGATTTTGCAACATCCTTCCCCTGGAGTGGGGTGGGAATGGAGATTTTACAGTATCCTTCCCCTGCCACACCCACCAAGCCATGCCCACCAAGCTACACCACACCCACCAAGCCACGCCCACAGAAGCAGTAGTAAAAAAAGTTGGATATCACCACTGACTTATGCTAATGGAGGGCTGTGGAGAATTCTCTCTTTTTTTATTATTATTGAAAAGTTTTACAAAAAAGAAAAAAAAATTCAAATATTTTCCCTTCCCCCAAAGGGCTGTGGAGAATTCACTTGTTGGTACGATTATTGCTCCTATCAAAGCCCTGGCCACTGTTTGGAATACAATATCATGCTTATATGCCCTCTCGCATAGTTGTAGTTATATTCTAGAACAGAGGTGTCAGATGTGCATCATCATCATGTGACGTATCAGGACTTTTCCACCCTTTGCTAAACTGGGCGTGGGCATGGCCAGCGAGTGAGGCATCTAGCTTGTGGGCCGTGCGTTTGACAGCCCTGCTCTAGAACCATGAAGTGGGATGATACTTCAAGTGGAGAACACTAATTCCAAGTCTGATTGAATCCAGATAGGAGTTTATTCTTGAGCCTCTTTTGTGATTCTGAGGATGGCAAAGAAATCTCCTTCCCGTCTCCTTGGCACCTTGTTCAGCAGGGTTATTCTAATGGGGAGACAGTCAAGAGAAAGAAATGGGTATACCCGTGCAGAGACTTTTGACTCATTTGGAAGTCATTTTGATATTAATCATTTTGACAGTCATGAGTTAGAGTCTGTGGTTAATATAATACTGATAATGGAACTGCCATCAACCACCTTCTCTGCATGGATGACATCAAGGTGTATGTAATGAATGAACAAGATTTCAACTCGCTGATCCACCTGACAAAGATTTACAGTGAGGACATCAGGATGTCACTGTTGGACTAAAGAAATGTATATAGATGGTAGTCAAGAGAGGCAAAGGAGTAAAGACTGATGGGATGGAACTACCGAGGGTCACATAGTGGACATACAGACCAGTTACAAATACCTTGGTATTCCACAGTCACATCGGAACCATGAGGAGGAGGCAAAGAAAACAGCAACATCCAAGTACCACCAAAGGATTTGACAGGTCCTGAAGAGCCAAGTCAATAGATCAAGATCCATGTCATCAACATGTTTGCTCTGCCAGTCATCAGATGCCCTGCTGAACTAGTGAGTTGGCCAAAGACGGACATGAAATCTGCCAATGTGAAGACCCTGAATAAGTCCTCACAATGTATGGAGGTTTCCACCCCAAGTCCTGAGACTGTACACCAGCTGGAAAGAGGGCTGTTGGGGTCATCCAAGTACTCCTGGATGCTCTGGGTTTCATCCACAACAGTAGCTTTGATGTGGATGAAATCCAGAGCATCCAGGAGTACTTCAGTAATATGGCATCCAAAGATGAGCTGCTGAGAGAATACCTGAGGCAGCAGCAGAAGTGGGAGAAAGATCAAGCAGAAGAAGTGCCATGACAAGACATTGAGAAATTCTACCAGTGGTTGGAAAGGGCTTACTGACTAAAATGTCAGCAATGAGGCACTGGTTGTAGCAGCACAAGAGCAAGCACTAAGCACCAGATTCATAAAAGCAGGGGTCTACCATACTAGACAGAACCTGAAGTGCATACCATGCAGAGAAGCCTCAGAGATAGTCCAATACACAGTGGTAGAATAAGAGTGAAAATGAGTTTTTTATTTCATTTTATACATATATCCTGAAGATATATGCTGAATTAATTGTGTGTTTGATCCCTGCTCTTCATGGTTAATTACTTATAGGAATGGGATATCTGCTCAGAAAGTTACAAAGTCCTCCTTTAAAAAGGGGTGAAATCAGCCTTTTTAAGAAGGACATAATTGACCCATTCCTGAAAAAATCCTAACCAATATTTGGAAGGTGAAACAACACTGTAAATCAATTATTAACATTCCCCTTATTAAACAAGGCAAATGATCATGTGGTTTTCTTTCCTTGGTCAATTTCAATTCATTTTATAGGTATGCCTTTGGAAACATCTTATGGGATGAGCTATTGCAGGAGATGGATGGGTGATGGGACTATCTTCTCTTCTCTTCTCTTCTCTTCTCTTCTCTTCTCTTCTCTTCTCTTCTCTTCTCTTCTCTTCTCTTCTCTTCTCCTCCCCTCCTCCACTCCCCTCCCTTCCCCTCCCCTCCCCTCCTCTTCTCTTCTCCTCCCCCCTCCCCTCCCCTCCCTTCCTCTCCTCCCTTCCCCTCCCCTGCCTTCCCCTCCCCTCCCCTCCCCTCCCCTCCTCCCCTCCCCTCCCCTCTCCTCTCCTCTCCTCTCCTCTCCTCTCCTCTTCTCCTGAAACTCTCAGGGATTTTCATATTCCAGATGGATCAGTGCACATTTCTTAAGTCTGTTTGTCTTGAAATACTGGGGTATATAACTTTAGCAGCTTGTCTTTTACACAGCTGATCCCAGAGGGTGGCACTGGCATTTTTTTTCTTTTCTGCTCCATCATAGTTGTGCTGTGGAGTTCTTCAGGGCTCTATGTATTTCATTAAGCACATGAAATCACTGGGGGATAGTATCAGGTGAGATGGGGCTGAGATGCCACAAAATGCAGATGACAGCCGGCTTTATCTGCCTTTTGATATAAGATTGAAATTCTGTGGATAGAAAGAGCTGTGCATACCTATGCTGACTGGAAAGAATGATGAGTTATCAAAGAAATAAATAAAATGAAAACAGATTTCTAAGCTTCTCTGTTACCGCTCTCCTGGCTGCATCTGGAGCTCACAAACAGCATACGCAAGAAGTGAAAGCTTTATTCCCTGATATTAGCCTTTTCCCCTTAGTGCTTCTAGGTGGAATGTAGAACACTTAGGTGTGTTTGAAATTCTGACTTTAATTATAGTGCAATCTTGCTGTGATGGGGAAAAGAACTAGACAGTGATGCCCTGATCTTTCTCCTCTTTTTGAAGGCTGCCTACCTAAGTTTGGAATGTAATGTCACTACTGACAATACCTCTGCATTTCTAAGTTCCTTTTTTTTCTGATAGCTTCAAAATACCAACAAAAGAAACTTGCCTGTCATGAAATGTGAATGTTCTGCAAGATGCAGAAGACACAGGCGTAATAGAAGAAGGCACGCCGGATTTATTTCTGCCGTGTCACTTCTGTGGATTCAGTTCAGGCAATTTCTTGTAGGTTGCTTTGTCCTTCTTTCCTACTCTTCATTATATTGTTTCTCTTCTGTATGCTTTCTCCCCCACCCCCTCCTCCCTCGAGTCTCTTCTTGCACTTTGCTAAAATGAAATCTTCTTTGTCATTCTTATGGCACTCTGTCCCCAATGTGTTTGCTGAAATTTTCACTGAAATTGCAGCTGAGGATGAAAAAAAAACACCCTTCCACCCCTCTTTTAGATGGAGACTATATGTGCATGTACAATACGTATGTACAAACATTTGGGAGACAAATCTGTAATATCCTGATTATTCTTTTCCTGTTCCCATCTTCCTTCACTCACCTGTGGAAAAGTTAGGGAGGCACTGTCTCCCTCTCAATGAAGATGCAAAAAACCCCAACAAATTGTCTTCTGTTACTCTGCAGAGCATCCTTTGGATAAAGATTGAAAGATAGATGTATGAGGGAAATTAACTTCAAAACTAAAAGACCAACTGACCCGATTCCATATTCTTATGATTCAAGACTTCCATTCATCTATAAATGTTGCTTGACTTGGAAATCATTTCGCACACCTTGTAGAAACATAATGGGAAATATGAATAGTTTGGAATGACTAAAAAAAAAACTTCATTAGAGAGCATCTCATTCAAACATAAACTTTCAGTCTCTTTCACCCTCTTTGTAATTTTTACAAAGGACTCCAGAGAAGCTGAGTTTTGGATTAACAGTACAGTATTTGAGTTATGGACTAACCTGGGAGAAGGAGTGTCCATTAAGCCCGAATCGCTGTTAAATCTGAATAGGATTTTATATATGTATCAAATACTCAATTAAAACATATAAAATGCAGATGCATATAAACCTATTCACCATTTTACAAAGGTATAATGGTGAATAGGATTGCATGCATCTGCATTTTATATATTTTACACAAGTATTTTATTCACATATAAATGGTGAATAGGATAAAACTCGGACCACACGTTTTCTAAATAGTTTTTATCCCAGAGCTATAATTGCACTCAACAATGAATTAAAGGGCCACCATCAGTGAGATGTTGGACAGCATTACTTGGTGTGTTGTGTGGATGTTTGGGTGGTTTAGGTGTGGGGAATTTGTGGTGGGTGGGAGTGTGTTTCAGGATTGTTATGTGTGTTGGACCTGGTCTTTGGGTGTTAAGTGAATTTCGTTGTATGGGTATACTGTGTATACACGTACAATGAAAATAAAGTTGTTGTTGTTGTTGTTGTTGTTATTTACACAAAAATGACAGTATACATAGCAAACGAGATAACCATGCCGGGTTTCGTATCACAAATCACTAGTTGAACACTTCCCAAGGGTTTAGGACTGTGTGATGTATCGGTGGATTATGTGAGCAGATCCCAGTAAGGTGGCCTTCTGCAGCTGACCAATGGTGATCTTGTCAGAGCCAATTGTTTTTAAGTGTTTGCCTAAGTCTTTAGGCACAGCACCCAGTGTGCTGAGTACCACTGGGACCACCTGCACTGGTTTATGTCAGTCTCTGCAGTTCTATTCTCAAGTCCTGATATCTGGTGACTTTTTCAAGTTGTTTCTCGTCGATTCTGCTGTCACCAGGTATGGCAATGTCGATGATCCACACTTTTTTCTTCTCCACAATTGTGATATCTGGGATATTGTGTTCTAAAACTTTGTTGGTCTGTAATCGGAAGTCCCACAGCAGTTTTGCATGCTCATTTTTGATCACTTTTTCAGGCTTATGATCCCACCAGTTCTTTGCTACAGGCAGATGGTAGTTGTGATACAAGTTCCAGTGGGCCATCTGAGCAACTGTGTTGTGACGTTGTTTGTAATCAGTCTGAGCTATTGTCTTGCAACAACTCAGTATGTGGTCAATGGTTTCATCCGCTTCTTTGTAGAGTCTGCATTTGGGGTCATCAGCAGATTCTTCTGTTCTGGCTTTGATTACATTTGTTCTGATGGCTTGCTCTTGGGCTGCAAGAATCAGGCCTTCTGTCTCTTTCTTCAGTGTTCCGTTGGTCAGCCATAACCAGGTCTTTTCCTTATCTACTTTTCCTTGGATCTTTTCAAGGAACTGTCCATGCAGTGCTTTATTACACCAGCTGTCAGCCTGAGTTTGCATCACTGTTTTCCTATATTGATTCTTGGTTTGCTGCACTTTGAGCAGCTTCCTCTTGTTGACCTTCATCAAAGCTGGTTCAACACTGTCTTTCACATAATCTGCCAGAGCATGCTTCTCTTCTTTGACTGTCTGCTTCACTTGCAGAAGTCCTCTGCCGCCTGCTTTTCTGGGCAAATATAGCCTGTCAACATCACTACATGGGTGCAACGCATAGTGTATAGTCATCACTTTTCTTGTTTTCCTATCCAGGCTGTCCAGCTCTGCCTGTGTCCAGTTCACTATCCCAGCAGTATATCTGATTACGGGTATCGCTCAAGTATTTATAGCCTTGATGGTGTTACCACCATTCAGTTTGCTTTTTAGAAGTTTCCTGATCCTTTGTGTGTATTCTTTGCTGACCACATTTTTCACTTGCCCGTGCTTGATGTTGTCCAGCTGCAGTATGCCCAGGAATTTGTAGGCTTCAGGTTGCTGGCACTTGATGGTTTGTCCATTGGGCATTTCAATTCCATCACTGTCTATGATCTTCCCTTTCTTCAGTGCCACTGTGGCGCATTTGTTCAGGCCGAACTCCATGCTGATGTCAGTGCTGAAAATTTGAACTGTATTGGTCAGTGACTGGATCTCAATTTCCGATTTTCCATATAGTTTCAGGTCATCCATGTACAGCAGGTGAGAGATTTTCTGTGAGTTTTTAGCAGTTTGATAACCCAGGTTAGTTTTCTGTAAAATTGTTGACAGGGGGGTCATGGCGAGGATGAACAACATAGGTGACAAAGAATCACGCTGGAAAATCGCTCTTTTGATGTTGACCAGTCCGTAGCTTTTACTTCCAATAAACAGTTCTGTTTTCCAGGACTTCATCACATTTGCAATGAAAGTACCAATGCACTTGCATATTCCGATGACGTCCAGGCACTTGATGATCCAGCTGTGCGGTAGTGAATCAAATGCTTTCTTGTAATCAATCCAAGTTGTATGCAGATTTGTTTTTTGGCTTTTGCAGTTCTCTAGAATCAGTTTGTCAATCAGGAGCTGATCCTTTGTGCCTCTGCTTCCTCGTTTGTTTCCTTTCTGCTCTACTGGCAAGATCTTATTCGCTTCTAGGTAGTCCTGGATCCTGTCAACTATAATGCCGGTTAGCAGCTTGAACATGGTTGGCAGACACGTTATTGGCCTGTAGTTTGCAGGTGTTGTCCCTTTTGCTGGATCCTTCTGTATCAAATAGGTTTTTCCAGCTGTTAACCATTCACTGATGTTTCCTGTCTGCAGCATCTCATTGAATTGTTCGGCCATTTTTCCATGCAGGCTGGTCAGATATTTGAGCCAAAAGCCATGCAGTTGATCATTGCCAGGCGATGTCCAGTTCTTGACTTTTTTCACTCTGTTGCTTATCATTTCAGTAGTTATTTTCAGTTGGTCCATTTTGTTCTTGGAGAATTTTGTCTCAAAATCTCTGATCCACCCAGCATTTTTGTTGTAACATTTCTCAGTCTCCCACAGGTCTTTCCAAAACTGAGTAGTTGCCGTTTTCTCAGGTTTTTCAATTTTCGTATCCCCTGTTTGATTCAGACTCTGATAGAACCGTCTTTGGTCTGATTGGAACAATTGATTTTGTTTGTACTGGATGACTCTGGCTTCGTATCTTTCAATTTTTCTTGCTGTCGCTGTTATCTGCTGCTTCACAATTTCCAATGCTTCAACAATTTTTCTTGTGCTGAGTCCGTATTTTTTTATCAGATGTTTCCTGATCTTGCTGTTTTTCAGCTTTTTCTCCTGCAAATTCTTCAAGTTGCTTGCATCTGCTCTCAGACTCTTGATTTTCAGCTCCAACCTGATTTTCCACTGCGGTTTTCCAGTCAATTTTCTAGGGGGCTGTGGCTGTTGAATCCCCAGTTCTTCTGTTACTATGACTGCTGTACTGTAGGCAAGCTGATTTGTTTGTTCAATTGATGTTATCTGGACTACTGCAAGTGCATAGTTCACATCTATCATCAATGGCACCAAATGTTTTCTAGGCACAGTCTTCAATGTTGGAAGCCTTCTTCTTTCCGCATTTGTTGCAGCATGTGCCAAGATTTTAGCTTTCAGTTCTTGCTGCCTCGCATTGAGTACTCCTGGTGTGTCAATGATGACTTCAAACCCTTGCTTATCCTGATCTTGCAAAATATCCGCATTTTCTTCAAATTCAGACTGTTCAGTTGCTCCAGATGTTGTTGGAGTATTTTCTGCTGCCAATTCAGCAGACTGCTGTGTTCCCATTTCACAATTTTTCCGTTGTTGTTGTTGTTGTTGTTGTTGTTGTTGTTGTTGTTGTTATTATTATTATTATTATTATTATTATTATTATTATTATTATTATTATTATTATTATACATAGAAGCATGTGATATTCAGACAGATTTTTATCCTTTGCTCCAGAGACCATTAAATAATGTTCCATTAAATCAAAAGTAAATAGCAGTGAACCTCTAAAATTATGTAATGTAACATGTTTCAGTTTTTCTTCTTGGAAATCTGGTGATCTTGCATTATCATAATGTTACCAAAGCATAATGTTACATCCCTACTTCACTGGCCTGGGAGTTAAGTGAAGCTATTATTCTGACAGGTTCTATTTATCTTTTCCTACAACCATTGAACACCAAGAACTGGGTGGTTCCAAAAGCTAATGCACAGAACATAGTCAACTAAAATGCAAAGATCCATGAGGTCAATTTCCAGTAGACGATTTGAACCTATAGAATAGCATTGGACTACCTATGTCTGATGAATCCCAAATAAAGTGAAGCCAATCATGCAGCATCTGCCTTCTGTGGGTTTATGTAAGTCCACTTAATAAGTCATTGGGACATGCTAGGGGCAAGAATGAGTCTGAAATGATATTTTACCTGCAAGCATCTGGATTTACTAAACAACAGTCCCAGTGCTTTTGAGCCCACGTAAGAAGTTAGTAAAATAGGTTTGAGACAAATTCACAGATATACCGTGTCATAATAACTTGCTTGTCCATCTCTGACATTTCTCCATCTTTTCCTGTGCCTTAAAATCTCAAACTTAATTTGTTAGTTGATGGAAGCCCTTGGAAGAATTCATTCTTATGATGACTTATTAGTTCTTACTGTCACTGATTATTACATTGCTTATTTCTTCTTCTTGCTGCCAAATATGGCTGGTTTCTCAGAAATGCAACCAATTTGCCTCAGGTCATGGGATGTTTTGCTAATGACTATGCCCAGCAGCTATTTCTGAAACTGACTGTGACATGCTTTTGAAATTCCAGATGTGCTCATAGGGCTTTTGGACACTGCTTGCCCAGCAGTTCAGTGTTCAGTGTTCAAAATGTTTGGAACTGGGTTCACCAAACAGATTCTGTTTACTCTATTTTCTGTTGATTCCATATACATTTATTCAATGGCCCTGGAAGATATAAATTCCATGGATTAATTTTTAAAGTTGTGTTTTAATCTCCTTTGAAAAATGTATGGATGCATTATTTAGTAGGCTGCAACAAGCAGCTGTGCCAGGTGCAAGCATCATAGATTACAACAGAACTACTCTTCTGTGTACACTTTCAAGAACTTTTCCCAAATAAGTATTTCTTTACAACTTGGAGCCAACATTAGAGTAAGCAGCATTTCAATGTAATTAAATTCAAAAGATGATTGTTGCATTGCTTGCTTTTTGCAGGTTTGCCTTTTAAGTATGGTTTATAACAGGGGATCTACTCTTGACTAAAGAGAGATTTATGTCTATTGAGATTTAATAGGAGAATGCTGCTTTTTGGACCAAGAGTTACATTTCGCTGGCGTGCTGGAGACTAGGTTCCAAAATATATCCAGGAACAGGAACAAAACGTGAATGGAACCAATACAAAAAAACCCTAAATTGGATTTAATGAAAAGCAGAGCTGTTAGTGGACCTAACAAACCTTGACTGATCTCAAAAAAAGCAAAGCAGGGTTGATCCTGTTAATACAGTACTTGGCTAGGAACCACTAGATATCCCAGGGTATCCTAGGCTAGACAAGGAATACAATAATAAAATAGAATGATAGGGCTGGAAGAGAGTTTAGTAAGGTAAAGGTTCCCCTCGTACATATGAGCTAGTCATTCCTGACTCTAGGGGCTCATCTCCGTTTCAAAGCCAAAGAGCTAGCGCTGTCCGAAGACGTCTCCGTGATCATGTGGCCAGCATGACTAAACTCCAAAGGCACACAGAACACTGTTACCTTCCCATCAAAGGTGGTCCCAATTTTTCTACTTGCATTTTTTATGTGCTTTCAAACTGCTAGGTTGGCAGAAGCTGGGACAAGTAACGGGAGCTCACCCTGTTACGCGGCACTAGGGATTCGAACCGCTGAACTGCTGACCTTTCGATCAACAAGCTCAGCATCTTAACCATTGAGCCATCGTGTCCCTGGAAGAGAGTTTAGAGATCTTTTAATTCAACTGCCTGGCCATAGTAGGAATCCACACACCAGCCCAAAGAAATGGCTCTCCAGTCCTTCCTTAAAAACCTTTAGAAATGGAGTGCTCACAACTCTTAGGAGGCAGGCTGAGCCACTTTTTAACAGCTCTCACCATCATGAAATTCTTGGGAGCTATGGAGAATCAACCCACGGATGACATCCGGGAAGGCAAAGGCATTCTACTTCTATGTTATTGCCAAGAAACTAGCACAAATATGAACATGTCACCAGGAATTGAATATAGTGCTATATATTTAATATTACTCTGAGTGTATGTAATAATTAATTTTTACTATGATAAATGTTGACCGCTTTTGGAGGCCAAGGCATTCAAAATCATTTTTGGTGATTACATCAGGCATTGGAAATTGCAAATGGTAATTCCTCTTGTTTTGTTTATTTATTTTGTTTGTGCCTTTTAGCCAGTCTTGATTCCTGGAGACTCCCTGGACAACTCTCAGTTTTCTAGCCAAGATTTCAGAAGTAGTTTGCCATTGCCTCCTTTCTATGGCTGAGAGAGTGCGACTGCCCCAAGATCACAGAGCTGGCATTATGCCTCAGATAGGACAAGAACTCAGAGTCTCCCAGCTTTTAGCTTGGCGCCTTAACCATTACTGGCTCTCTTCTGATTATAATTTTATGTTTATGTGTATCTACAGGAATGAGCAGGAGAGTTCCTGTGAGTGGAAGAAAAGGCAGCATAGTCCAGAGTTAGAGGCTCTGGGAAGGAAGGAAGAAAACATTTCAAAGAGATTCTGCCTTAATTGGTTTGCTATAAGTCTGCCTAAAACTTAATTTACAGATTTCAAGATTATGGTATTATTCTGACTCGCATTAAAGATCCCTTTCTGAAATCTGTCTGGTTCTTACTTCTTGCTAGATGGGGCTTGGAAATGTTAGAGGAAGACAGTTCATCAAATTATGATAACAGAAAATAAGAAGCAATTATACCATTATCCGTTGTGCAGTGATGGAGGATTTATACCAAAGGGCAGCACAAATATTCTGCAGATCACTAGCTAACTAAAGAACAAGAAGCAGAGGACAGGAATAAATGTGCAGCTTTCAGAATGCGAAGAAGGGAATACGTTGCCACTAGTAGGATCCTGCTGTTATGTGAAATATCCAGCATCTTGAAAATCCTCTTTGGTGCTCTCATGACATTTTAAAATGCTACTTTAAATCCTCACTATAATTTATATTTGGGTATCGGTTGGCATTTGTGGAATTTAGAGATAAATGTGACTTTTCACAATGCAACTTACTTTCTTTTTAAAAACATTCTGAATAAGCTGCTGTCTATTAAAGCCTGCTTCACTCACAAGAAGGACAAGGTATAAACAAAACCAAACTCATCATAATGTAAGTGTCCCGACGATCCCTTCTAAATCCAGTTAATACAGTTGCACATAAATGATGGTGTTAAGAGGAGAGATTGGTGCAATTCCATTTCCCAAATTCTGGTTTTTGTTTTAGTTGTTGAGGGTTGAGTTAACTGCTAGTGATTCTATAAAGAGATCTCCCTATGACCTCTGGGAATGAAGAGGTTTGCACCAGTTCAGCTCTGGCATCACCTTTAGTACTTTGGTTAAGTAAGTGGAATTCTACTAAGCAAAATGCCAGCTAAATACCATTAAGAGAAGCGCATTACCAGGAAATGTATTAGTGTGATTGAAATACCCTTCCACAACTATGTAGAAGATTCTTATTTTCTGCCTAGTCGTACTAGAAATCCATCTCAAGCGTTAGAATCAAAGGTGGGTTTCAGAAGGTTCTGACCAGTTCTGGAGAACCGGTAGCAGAAATTTTGAGTAGTTCAGAGAACTGGTAAATACCACCTCTGACTGGCCCCACCCCCATCTATTCTCTGCTTCCCGAGTCTCAGCTGATCTGGAGGAAATGGGGATTTTGCAGTAACCTTCCCCTGGAGTGAGGAGGGAATGGAGATTTTACAGTAGCCTTCCCCTGCCACGCACACCAAGCCACACCCACAGAACCGGTAGTAAAAAAATTTGAAACCCACCACTGGTTGGAATCATCATTGTACTTCACTGGAGATTGGTGGCCAATAAATTTGAATGAATGAATGAATGAATGAATGCCCTTCTTTTTCCAGAATGCTAAAACAGCATTTCTCAAACTTTTGGCAACTGTAGGTTGCCAAATAAGTGTACAGAAAGTGCAAAGTCCATTGAGTTAAATATCTCCAATGTTTCATCCATTAGAGGATGGAATTTCACATGTTGAGTAAATAAGAAAGTTATATTGTATTTGTACATGCCTCTCCTTCATCCCCACTTCCATTTTAAAAGAAGTTCAGAACTAAATTTTATATCCAAAAAAATTAATCCAGAATTATTTATTGAATTTTGTATGTGTCCTGTACCATAAGGTAGCATAAATTTACAATTCTACAAAGTTCTTCAGCAGAAATATCTGAGTCCTAAGGGTAGGACAATCTCTAGCCCACATGTTCAGATACTCATCACTGTATTTCCTGTTCATATTTTTTCTTTCTCAGTTGCTTGGACAAGAATAGAATTTGCTTATTCATCTCTGCTAGGTGAAATTTTCAGTAGATTGATATATTCTTTTTTCCTACACTAAGATTCCTTGCTTTCCTACTCACTACCATCTCAAGACCCATTACAGCATATACAAAATTGGGATTTATTGACCCAGTATTTACCAGTTTGTTTAATTTCATCCATGTACTTCATAATGGGGGTGGTAGTGATGGTGGAAATATTCGTGTATAATTTTTTGCTATTTATTTTGACTAAATAAATATTTTTCTTAACATTCAGTATCATAAGTACTTTGATCTTGAGTTAGAGGCTCACCTCTAACTCCAGGTGACTTATAGACAAATTTAAGGGCACACTTTATAGATCCTTAGATGAATCTGTTATTTATTTCTTCATTGTGGGATTTTTCTCAGTTGGTTCAATAGTCTTTCAGTTTTCTCAAAGCATAAATTAAGGTAAGTGTAATTTTGGAAATGACTTTCTAAAAATCTATTTTACACTGGCTGCCTTCCAGTCCTCTGGCACAGATGCAAAATTTAGGAATATATGTTGTACATTTTTGGTTGGAAATTAGCCATTGAACATGTGAATAACTTAAGAACTTTTGGATAGATGTTCTTTCACTTCTGATTTCTCTGCAAACAAAATCTAGACCTTCACCTCTTTTTACCACTATTTGATTAATTCCTTTCAATTCTGAATCTACCATATGTCTTCTTTAGTGAGGACAGATGCAAATAATTAATTATGCTTCATTGCAGTTTTCTAATCTTGCACACTTTTAACTTCCATAGTCAATAGTTCAGCTATATCCCTATAATGAAATGATACTTAACACATACCACTAAAGCAAATAAAGGATTAAGTACCCTGTTTCCCCCAAAATAAGACATCCTCTGATAATAAGCCCAATTGGGCTTTTGAGCACATGGCAATAAGACCAAACACTTATTTCAGGGTTCAAAAAAATATAAGACAGGGTCTTAGTTTTGGGGAAACACGATAGATATTTACAAGGATAATAGAAAGGTAGGGGAACATGCAGAGATAGTGTAAGCACCTAGAGCCGTGATGGCAAACCTATGGCACACGTGCCACAGGTGGCACGCGGAGCCATATTAGTGGGCACGCCAGCTCAGCTCTGAGGCGCATGTGCGCACCGGCCAGCTAATTTTCAGGCCTTCTGGGCCCACCAGAAGTAGGGAAACAGGCTGTTTCCTGCCTCTGGAGGGCCTGGGGGAGTGGGGAAGGCTCGCTTTTCTTTCTTACCTGGCTCCAGATCCTCTCTATGCATCTGGGAAGGGCGAAAACAGCCTTTCCCACTCCCTTGGAGGCCCTACGGAGGCTGAAAGGGCCCATTTCCTGACTCCCGGTGGGACAGGAAGTGACATTTTTTTCCTGTCCCCAGCCTCCAGAGACTTCTAGAGAGGCTCCTAGAGATTTCTAGAGAGGCTCCTAGAGACTCCTAGAGAGGTTCTGGAGGCTGGGGACAGCAAAAATGTCACTTCCTGTCCCAGCGAGAGTTGGGAAATGGGCCCTTTCAGCCTCCGTAGGGCCTCCAAGGGAGTGGGAAAAGCTGTTTTCGCCCTTCCCAGATGCATAGAGAGGATCTGGAACCAGGTAAGAAAGAAAAACGGGCCTACGAGGCCTGGCTCATGTGCCAGGAGCGGGGGTGGGTGGGGTTGTGGGTGCATGAGCGTGGGCACATGCGCGCATGAACCTCCCCGCCCCCCCTCTCCTGGCACACAATGGTAAAAAGGTTAGCCATCACTGACCTAGAGTCATGGTGGCACAGTGATTAGAATGCAGTATTGCAAGCCAACTCTGGCAGTTCGATCCTGACTGGCTCAAGATTGACTCAGCCTTTCATCCTTCCAAGGTCAGTTAATTGAGGATCCAAATTGTTGGGGGAAATATGCCAACTATGTAAACAGCTTAGAGAGGGTTGTAAAGCACTGTGAAGCGGTATATAAATCTAAGTGCTATTGCTATCTGATATCACTATGAATTCAACTTCTGTTCACATTTTATTTATTTACTCTTATATTTCTATCCTGATTTTATTTGTACAGTTAAAAATGGCCAACATTACCCAGTTGGCATTGATGCTAGGGAGGACTAGAACTCATGATGTCCTAGTTTCTAGTACAGTGGTTTAACCACTACACAAAACTGGAAATGTTACTTACCTATACCACATACTCAAGTGGAGGGATGGGAGAATTAAAACATCAGAAGCAAGAATACATGGTTAAGGAAAAGGAAATGGATGGATGGATGGATGGATGGATGGATGGATGGATGGATGGGTGAGTGAGTGGATGGATGAGTGAGTGGATGGATGGATGGATGGATAATAGCTAAACCTATAACAAGAAAATAAATAAGTTTAAAAGAGAGGAGTTAACATCAATAGAAGAATTTGGGGGGTTTACATTTATCATTAGTATAGTGGCAATGAACATTTAAACAGTATTTATTTATCTCAATATAATTTCAGAAGGAATTATGCACTCCTGACCAAATAAACCTCTCCAGGTTCTTGTTTCTGGTTTGGTGAACCAGGGTTTTGGGTTGTTGTTGTTTTTTGCCTCTCTTGGGGCACTTGTACTTGAATCTTTGTGGTGTTTGTTCCTTATTTTGCCATCTTTCTAATAGTTCCTTGATGTTGCTTATTAGCTGCAGGTTTTACAGCTTTGATTTGATGGTACTTTTGCTGACAAATGATTTTTTAAAAATCAGTTTCTAAAATTGGTGTATTGAGTGACCCCCAATCTCAACTTTAGAAGAGATTTGACAGTTCAGTTATGCAGTGCCTAGGAATGCCAAACTGATCTGATGATAGCAGAGAAACATTTTAATTTGATTTTGATATGACATGTTTAGTTCCTAAGCTATACGTACATAAAATCAAACTAGTGTATAGCTTTCACAGATCTTAATTTAAATGGGAAAGGAACATCTGAAAAAAGGTGATGTATGTTTTCTCCTTTTTTTTTTCACACACACACAAAAAGATTTGGCTTCACATTGGTATAATTGGAGAGCGTTGAAATTTTATATTTACTCATTTTGGCAGCTTCTTTTAAAAATGAATCCCACTTCATGATCTAACCAGTGACAAATGGCACAGAAGTTTCACTTGCAATGCTAAAGCAAAATTATCTCGCTTCCTAGGGTGTGATGGCAAAGAACTGTTTCTCTCTCTCTCTCCCTCTCTCCCCTCCTCTCTCTTTCTCTCTCTCACACACACACAATGATTTTTTTCACAAGAGCAATGAGGACTGATAGGGGCTCTACCAGCAGAGCTTTTGACCTAA